GAGGGGGGGGGGAGGGATGATTTATTACTCTTTCCAGTTAAATAAGCCCAACAGGTAACTGAAACAGCTACAAAGTTTTCAATTTTCACAATGCACAAGAGAATCTTAAGCTAGTAGAGGGTCGCATGTCTGTTCCAAGTGTACAGCTTTTAATGGTGTCAGCCACCAAATGCATAAAACCTAGACATAAGGTAAGGAATTCTGCAGTTCCGAAATGGTTAGCAGATACGGAAGCAACTTCTTCAAGAACTCACCTCTGCTACCCCAACCCAGGATAAAGGAACCTCTTTGGATTGTGCAACTTCCACATCCTTTATTTGCGCTGTCAATTTTTCTTGTATGGCTTCAGAACATAAAGTATCAAGATGGCGATCATGAAATGTCAGGTTACGCTCATCCATAAACATTTATCTAAACTATAACAATGTTGGCACTAGCTGGCATTGAAAAGAAGCTGGAATTCAGTTTAAGGAAGCATACAGTAAGGTAATAATACCTCCCAAACGTGAAAATAGGTGCGACTGGATATATCTCCCCTTAATTTTTCTTGAACCAACTGGGATATCAGATTTAGCGATTTCTTCGGCCAATCTAACCAAAGCCTGCAAGTCAATTGAAATATATTCTATTTTTATACTCCGTAAGCTGCTAATGCCGGTTGCTAGAGTTGAAGTCCCACACAAATATTGGATTATCAACCATTTAACTTTTCTCTTGTTGTTTGTCATCTTCAAAGTGTGGAAATTTCTTCTAGCATAAATCAAATTCTAGTTAATTACAGCACAAATCCTCACATCACAAGGGAGCATAGGTGTAACACTCCTCAAATTTATAAAAGTTTCAAGATACGCTAAATATAGAATTTAAATTTTTTTTTATCTTAAATTATACTTATATTACGGATTTAAACCCTTGTGATTGATTTTTGAGTTACTTCTCTATTTATAAATAATTGGATATGCAATTAGGGGAATATTAATAATTTTAATGTTATTAATTACTAAAAGTAGATATAATTAAATACAAGTTAAGTCACAAAAAAAAGGGAAAAGAAATTAAAACCCATAAAGGGTTGTGGACTGCAAAAGAAGTAAAAAGAGATTTGGACTAAGAAACATAATACGCACAAACTGAAAGGCAGAATTAAAAAGCCCTTGTTCACGCACAAACGCAAAATCGGGAGATAGAGCCTTGCTGCTCAATACTCACGCAGGCAACGGGAAGTTTAGGTTTCTTTACAAGTCACTAATTCTTGAACTCAGGTATATAAAATTCTCTATTGTCAATTACCCTAAAGTAGTAGTAGGTAAGAATTGGATAGTTAATTCCCTTCTTCCTCTATACCAACAATAAACTTCATGTTTAAGCGTGAAACTTTAAAATTGATTAAAATGCACTGGTTGTTGTAGAATCGATTGTTTGACTGGTGTCAATTAGATTGGGGCCTACGTATTGGCTCGAGAAGTATTGAGGTGAGTTGATACAACCCTTTACTAAAGTGGTTTAACTCACAAAAGCACGTATACAAGGTGTTTGATGAATTGTTTAAAAGAGTTTATATTTACTTAATTGGAGCAAGTGAGTACCTATTAACTTAGAATTGTTCTAGCAAAAGTTTAGACGATTTATTATGATATGCATGCACAAATTTTCAAATTTTTGTGTTATTCTTATATGTTATTTTCATGTTGAAAATTTATAAAGAAGCAAGAATCTTTAGAAATACTTTTACATGTTTATTTCATTCTTATGACATGCTTTACATTTAAGGATACCAGCATGAGCATGTACATGATGTTCTATAAAGAAAGGATCTAGACTTGAAAAGTCACAAGAAGAAGTTTTAGAAAGAAAAGATTTTTGGGAGTATCCTTTATTCTGAGAAGGGGTCATCGTCCAGGCCGAGGGTCCTGACCAAGGCGTTGACTTCCTGAAACTACTTGTGCCAAAGTAGGGAGCACACGAGCCGAGGATCTCGTTGCTGAGAATTTACTTAGCCATGCTAAGGTATGATACATGAGCGCTGAGAACCATTAAGCGAGTGGCACCTCGTGGATTGGGCCTATTCGATCAGGTTGGGATCGAACCCGTGCCGATCACACGATGATTGAAATAGAATTAAGTCAGGATAGTTGGGACTCCCAAAGTATAAAGAGAAGTATTTTTTTGAAAAAGAAAAGAATTTCTTTTAGAATATTCATAAACTGCTAGTATGCAAGTATTTTAGAATTATTCTTATAAGCTTTATGTTTTACATGCATTTAGAACTTTTGCTCGTAATGTATATGTTAGTAAAGTTTCGGCCCCTATTGTTGAGACTCACTGAGTACAATGGATGGTACTGACGTTCTCTTTTGGGAACCTACGTTGGTCTGTGGTACAACGTAGGAACCGGTTTTGCAGGCGAGCAGGCTACGGGTTAGGACTTCCTTCTATTCCAGTGCTATTGGTAAGCTCCACTTTTGTTCGTGGAGTATTCCTTTGAGTCATCTTCATTTAGTTATTTCTTTGATTACTTAGAGAGCTGGCCAGGAAATCTCATGTCCTGAGCAGTGCATCAGTTTATCAGTAGAGGCTTCATAGACATAGTTATTGGGTTAAGATTCAGATGTTTATGATAATAACTTAGCAGTAATTCAGTAGTTACTACGAATAAAGTTTTCGAGTTGATTTATTTAAAAATTTAAATTAATCAAAAGTATTTGGTTGGAGTATTGCCTTGTTGCATATAAAGTTTGGAGTTATAATAGATTTAATAAGCAGAGATGGTTCGCTCGGTCATGTTTAGTGATCGAGTGCTGGTGCCGGCTTGTTCAGAAAATGGGTCGTGACAAACTAGGTATCAGAGCCTCAGGTTTATGGAGTCCTAGGGGTCTATGAAGCCGTGTTAGTAGAGTCTTGTTTATGGGTATGAAGAGCGTCATACTTATAAATAGGAGGCTACCAACATTTAGGAAAAGTCTCATTTTTCTCATACTTTAGATCGTGCAGTAGATCCTACCTCTAAGAAATTATCTAATGTATTCGTTTCTCCAAAACTCGCAGAAATGGCTCGTACTCGCAACTCTGACACCGACACTCAGGATGTTGCTCAAGAAACTATTGCTACTATTATGGCTCAAGGCAGAACTAAGAAGGCTTTAACTCAGAAAAGGAGGGGTAGATCCACAAAAGGGGTCCAAGTACCCCGAGTTGAACGTGAAGAAAGGGTGGATAATGATGAGCAAGTATCTCAGGATCCAGTGCCGCCCCCAACAGCAGCTCCCGCTCAGACAACTATATCCCCAGAGGTGGGTCAGATGTTTAATGCAGTTAACAGCGCTATGGAGATGTTTAAAGCCTTCAGGCCAACCAGAACGAGAGAAGAGATGAGATTCTACCTCAATCAAATAGGCAGAACAATTCTGAGTCCTCAAGAGTGAATGAATTTTTGAAGTTGAGTCCTCCAGTGTTCCATGGTTCTATAGTTGATGAAGATCCAATGTTGTGGCTGGAGGGTGTGAAGAAAGCCCTCCGAGCGATGAAAGCATTTGATGATGAAGCTGTGGAGCTGGCTGCTTACCAGCTTAGAGATGTGGCCGGCGTTTGGTTTGAGATGTGGGAAAAGGAAAGAGATGTAGATGATGGTCCGCCTACTAGGGAAGAATTTGAAGAGGCCTTCATGGCTAACTTTATCCTGGAAGAGGATAGGGAAGCTAAGGCTACAGAGTTCGAACAGCTCAAGCAAGGGAATAAAAGTGTGCAAGAGTACTACATGGAATTCATAAGGTTGGCTAAGCATGCTCCTCACATAGTTAAGACAGAAAGAGCAAAGATTCGCAGGTTTGTTGGCGGTTTAGCTTACCACATTAAGGATACGACATCAGCTGCAGCAGTAGAGATGATAGCTTTCTCCTTTGTTGTGGGATTTTCCAAGCACTTAGAAAAAGACAGACAACAAAGAAGAGAAGAAAAAGAGCATAACAAGAAAGCCCGGACAGCGGGCAGGTTTAATGGTACATCCAGCGGAGGTGGAAGGGATTCCTCTAATAAGGGGTCAATAGCACCAGCTCAGTCTAGTCATCAGTCAGGTGGTGGGTCTTCCTTCAGACGTACTCAGAGTAATGGAAATTAGTCTCGCCAGAATCAGAATTTTAGGACACCATCCTCACATGGCCAGAGTCATGTTGAGCAACATTCACACCAACAAGGTCTTTGTGGAACATGTAAGCGGCAACATTCAGGTCAGTGCAAGCTCGGGTTTCATGGTTGCTATCATTATGTAGACAGTGGTCATATAAAGACCAACTGCCCAAAGTTGCGACGTAATTTCAGTGGTGGATCAACTCGTCCTTCTAGTTCCTCAGCTACTGCAGTTGCACCACCTCAGGCTCGTGGTTCTCATAATCAGACCAGGCATGGGGAAGGCAGAGGTGCAGATCGAGTTACTCAGGGAGGGGGACAACCCCGTTTGTTTGCTTCACTTGATCGTCAGAGTGCAGAGGCATCTGCAGAAGTTATTACAGGTATACTTTTAGCCTGCTCACATAATGCTAATGCCATAATGGATCCAGGTTCAACATTTTCATATGTGACTCCATACTTTGCAATTAACCTCGGGCTAGAACCTGAACAACTTAGTGAGTCATTCCTAGTATCTACTCCAGTTGGCGAGTCAATGAAAGTCACAAGAGTCTATAGAGGTTGTATAGTTTCAGTCCAAGGTTGCAACACCAAGGCCGATCTCATAGAATTAGAAATGGTGGATTTCGATGTGATCATGGGTATGGATTGGTTGTCTTCCTGCTATGCCATGTTAGATTGTCATGCCAAGATAGTCAAGTTCCAATTTCCAAATGAAGAAGTCTTAGAGTGGAAGGGTAGTTCAGCATCGCTTGTAGGTAAGTTTATTTCTTACCTTAAGGCACAACGAATGATCGGTAAGGGGTGTCTCGCCTATTTGGCTCACATCATTAATCCAGAATCAGAACCACCAGCTCTTCAGTCAGTGTCAGTTGTTAGAGAATTTCCAGAAGTTTTCCCAGATGACCTTCCCGGACTTCCTCCTGAAAGAATCATAGACTTTTGCATTGATCTCATGCCAGTCACTCAACCCATATCTATACCTCCTTATAGGATGGCTCCAGCAGAACTTAATGAGTTGAGAGAACAGTTGAAAGACCTTCTTGACAAGGGCTTCATCAGGCCGAGTGTTTCACCGTGGGGTGCCCCGGTCCTGTTTGTCAAGAAGAAAGATGGGTCTCTCAAAATGTGTGTCGACTATCGGCAGTTGAATAAAGTTACCATTAAGAACAAGTACCCACTGCCAAGAATTGATGATTTATTTGATCAACTTCAGGGTGCAAAGTACTTTTCAAAAATAGACTTGAGGTCGGGGTAACATCAGTTGAGAATCAGAGAAGAAGATATATCTAAAACAGCCTTTAGGACTCGCTACGGCACTATGAATTTCTAGCAATGTCCTTCGGGTTGACAAATGCTCCAGTTGCATTCATGGACCTAATGAACAGAGTTTTCAAGTCATTCCTTGATACTTTTATTATTGTGTTTATAGACGATATTTTGGTATACTCTAAAATCAAGGAAGATCATGCAGAACACCTCAGAATAGCCTTGCAGACCTTGAAAGAGAATGAGCTTTATGCCAAATTTTCAAAATGTGAGTTCTGGTTGCAGTCAGTGGCATTCTTAGGCCACATGGTATCTAGTGAAAGCATAAAAGTAGACCCTCAGAAGACAGAAGCAGTCAAGAACTGGCCTAGGCCGATAATGCCAACCGAAATCAGGAGTTTCTTGGGGTTAGCTGGCTACTATAGAAAGTTTGTAGAGGGGTTTTCCTCACTTGCAGCTCCATTAACTAAGTTGACTCAAAAAGCAGTTAAGTTCTAGTGGTCAGACGATTGTGAGCAGAGTTTTCAAGAGTTAAAGAAGAGGTTGACCACTGCACCTGTGTTAACCTTGCCGACAAGTTCGGGTGGGTTCACAGTGTATTGTGATGCCTCCAGAGTTGGTCTCAGTTGTGTTCTTATGCAAAATGGAAAAGTTATTGCTTATGCTTCCAGGCAGTTAAAGAATCATGAAAAGAACTATCCCACACACGACTTGGAGCTTGCAGCGGTGGTGTTTGCATTAAAGATATGGTGACACTACCTTTATGGCGAGCATTCTGAAATGTTTACGGATCACAAAAGCCTCCAGTACATTTTCAAGCAAAAAGAATTAAATTTGAGACAGAGAAGGTGGCTCGAGCTATTGAAAGATTATGACATCAATATCCTTTATCACCCGGGCAAAGCTAATGTGGTAGCAGATGCACTTAGTAGGAAGTCAATGGGTGTCTTGGCCCATCTTGCAGTACAAAGGCGATCTTTGGGTCGAGAAATTCAAAAACTAGCAAATGATGGAATTCGATTGGATGAGACCGAAAAGGAGGTATAACTGCTTATGCCTTAGCACAATCCTCCCTTGTTGCGCATGTTAAGGCTAAGCAAGACGAAGATCCGTACTTAGTGAAGTTAAAAGAAGGAGTCAGAAACAAAGAAATCAATGTTGTTAGGAAGTGACGGAGTTTTGAAGTTGAATGATCGGTTATGTGTGCCTGATGTAGATGGTCTTAGGAAGGCCATAATGGAGGAAGCTCACAGTTCGAGGTACTCTATCCACCCAGGTGCTACCAAAATGTATCTTGATTTGAAAGAGTTGTATTGGTGGAAAGGCATGAAGAAACAAGTAGCAGATCATGTGGCTAAATGTTTGAATTGCCAGCAAGTCAAAACCGAGCATCAAAGGCCTGGTGGCCTAGCTCAAGATATAAAGATACCACAGTGGAAGTGGGAGATGATTAATATGGATTTCGTAGTAGGTCTACCTCGCACATACCGTAAGCATGATTCAATTTGGGTTATTGTAGACCGACTGACAAAGTCCGCGCATTTCCTACCAGTAAAGACGACAGATTCCGCAGAGCAGTATGCGCAGTTGTACATCAAAGAAATAGTCCAATTGCATGGTACTCCAGTTTCAATCATATCTGACAGAGGGCCTCAGTTCACGGCGCATTTTTGGCAGGCATTTCAGAACAGGTTAGGTACCAAGGTCAATTTAAGCACCGCTTTCCATCCACAGACCGATGGCCAGGCAGAAAGGACCATTCAGACTCTCAAAGATATGCTGCATGCGTGTGTTATAGATTTTGGAGGTAATTGGGATGATCACTTGCCACTTATAGAATTTGCTTACAATAATAGCTATCAGGCTAGCATTGGTATGGCTCCTTATGAAGCGTTGTATGGGCGGAGATGTAGGTCTCCAGTGGGTTGGTTTGAACCAGCAGAGGTGTCGTTGATTGGTCCAGAGTTTGTTTGTGAGGCCTTGGAGAAAGTTCAGCTAATTAGAGAACGACTTAAAGCGGCTCAGAGTCGTCAAAAGTCTTATTCCGACAAGAGGCATCGTGAGTTAGAGTTCATGGTTGGTAATAAGGTGTTTTTGAAAGTTTCACCAATGAAAGGAATTATGAGGTTTGGTAAGAAAGGGAAACTTAGCCCTAGATTTATCAGACCTTATGAAATTCTAGAAAAGAAAGGAAACGTGGCTTATAAGCTAGCGCTACCCGTTGAGTTGTCCTCTGTTCATCCTGTCTTTCATGTGTCTATGCTTAGAAAGCACATTCATGATGAGTCGCATATAATACATGTCGATACCATAGAAATTAAAGAAGGCTTGACTTATGAAGGTACCTATAGAAATTCTCGATAGGCAAGTAAGAAAGTTGAGAACAAAAGATTTAGCATCAGTAAAAGTTTTGTGGAGTAATCATGATTCAAAAGAGGCTACGTGGGAGGTCGAGGAAGACATGAGAAAGAAATATCCATATTTATTTGAGGAAAAATGTATGTGAACCTAAGTTTGGTTTGACATTTATATTTCATTTATTAAATACAAGTTAGCAAGTGTTTCTGTCCTTCCTAGATTATACTTAGTTGTTGTAGTAATTTAGTTTACGTCGTAGTATATTTAATTCATTAAAGTGATTTACTTGTGCTAGAGTTGTTGTGCTTTAGATTCTTGTTAGTTATTGTGGTACCTCCTTGCCGGAGTGTGAGTAATTAATTTATGAGCTGCGTATGGTGCCTATGAATGGCCTGTTATGGTATATTTGGTTGTTGTTGATGTGGTTGTGAAATTTGTGACAGGAATATTATTTTGGATAGTCCAATTTACAAGGGAAACTCTGCCAAAATTTTTAAAATTTTAGGGAGTTAGCCAAAATTTTGAGTCCCTTGCAAGAGTGAGTAGTGCTAAGAAAACTTAAGAAGTTCAAGGACCTAAGAAATGATTGTTAGCTTAAGAATAAGGCCCTAGCAACATTCGAGGACGAATGTTTTTAAGGAGGGAAGATTGTAACACTCCTCAAATTTATAAAAGTTTCAAGATACGCTAAATATAGAATTTAAATTTTTTTATCTTAAATTATACTTATATTACGGATTTAAACCCTTGTGATTGATTTTTGAGTTACTTCTCTATTTAAAAATAATCGGATATACAATTAGGGGAATATTAATAATTTTAATGTTATTAATTACTAAAAGTAGATATAATTAAATACAAGTTAAGTCACAAAAAAAGGGAAAACAAATTAAAACCCATAAAGGGTTGTGGACTGCAAAAGAAGTAAAAAGGGATTTGGACTAAGAAACATAATACGCACAAACTGAAAGGCAGAATTAAAAAGCCCTTGTTCATGCACAAACGCAGAATCGGGAGACACAACCTTGCTGCTCAATACTCACGGAGGCAACGGGAAGTTTAGGTTTCTTTACAAGTCACTAATTCTTAAACTCAGGTATATAAAATTCCCTATTGTCAATTACCCTAAAGTAGTAGTACGTAAGAATTGGATAGTTAATTCCCTTCTTCCTCTATACCAACAATAAACTTCATGTTTAAGCGTGAAACTTTAAAATTGATTAAAATGCACTGGTTGTTGTAGAATCGATTGTTTGACTGGTGTCAATTGGACTGGGACCTACGTATTGGCTCGAGAAGTATTGAGGTGAGTTGATACAACCCTTTACTAAAGTGGTTTAACTCACAAAAGCACGCATACAAGGTGTTTGAGGAATTGCTTAAAAGAGCTTATATTTACTTAATTGGAGCGAGAGAATACCTATTAACTTAGAATTGGTCTAGCAAAAGTTTAGACGATTTATTATGATACGCGTGCACAAATTTTCAGATTTTCGTGTAATTCTTATATGTTATTTTCATGTTGAAAATTTATAAAAAAACAAGAATCTTTAGAAATACTTTTACATGTTTATTTCATTCTTATGACATGCTTTTTTAAGGATACCAACATGAGTATGTACATGATGTTCTATAAAGAAAGGATCTAGACTTGAAAATTCACAAGAAGAAGTTTTAAAAAGAAAAGATTTTTGGGAGTATCCTTTATTCTGAGAAGGGGTCATCGTCCAGGCCGAGGGTCCTGACCAAGGCGTTGACTTCCTGAAACTACTTGTGCCAAAGTAGGGAGCACACGAGCCGAGGGTCTCGTTGCTAAGAATTTCCTTAGCCATGCTAAGGTATGATACATGAGCGCTGAGAACCATTAAGCGAGTGGCACCTCATGGAATGGGCCTATTCGATCAGGTTGGGATCGAACCCGTGCCGATCACACGATGATTGAAATAGAATTAAGTCAGGATAGTTGGGACTCCCAACGTATAAAGAGAAGTATTTTTTTGAAAAAGAAAAGAATTTCTTTTAGAATATTCATAAACTGCTAGTATGCAATTATTTTAGAATTATTCTTATAAGCTTTATGTTTTACATGCATTTAGAACCTTTGCTCGTAATGTATATGTTAGTAAAGTTTCGCCCCCTGTTGTTGAGACTCACTGAGTACAATGGATGGTACTGACGTTCTCTTTTGGGAACCTACGTTGGTCTGCGGTACAACGTAGGAACCGGTTTTGCAGGCGAGCAGGCTACGGGTTAGGACTTCCTTCTCTTCCAGTGCTATTGGTGAGCTCCGCTTTTATTCGTGGAGTATTCCTTTGAATCATCTTCATTTAGTTATTTCTTTGATTACTTAGAGAGCTGGCCATGAAATCTCATGTCCTGAGCAGTGCATCAGTTTATCAGTAGAGGCTTCATAGACATAGTCATTAGGTTAAGATTCAGATGTTTTTGATAATAACTTAGCAGTAATTCAGTAGTTACTACGAATAAAGTTTTCGAGTTGATTTATTTAAATATTTAAATTAATCAAAAGTACTTGGTTGGAGTATTGCCTTGTTGCATATAAAGTTTGGAGTTATAATAGATTTGATAAGCAGAGATGGTTCGCTCGGTCATGTTTAGTGATCGAGTGACGGTCCCGGCTTGTTCAGAAAATAGGTTGTGACAATAGGTTTGTTATAACATGTATGCAAATGCACCGAATACTAACAAGGTACAACTAGATCTGAAACAATAAAATGACAATAACACCGGCCATAGCAGAACCAAACCTGAATCTCAAGTTCGACGACTGCAAGTTCACTTTTGAAATTAACCAGCACATCCTCCTTATCTTGCAACTGCAGTGATATAGCACATTAAGCATAAGAAGAAAAATAGAGGTTCCGTGCAAAGCATTGATTCCAACATTTTTCTGTAGCCTTAACCATTTTTTTTTTGATTCCCCTCCCCTTTGATCCATTTTTGGGCTTTGTTGGAACTAATGCTCCTTTGATGACTCAAACCCACGACCCTGGAACAACCCCCCTCTTGTCTTAACCATTAATTTTACACAACTAAATCTATGAGTTTAACTCACCTAGTGTATCAAGGAATCTAAGAAACAGATCTCATTAAGACTATACTTCTGCAGAACTAAGAGGCTAACAATATTTTCATCTGATACTAAACTTAGACCTTCAATCAAAAACTTGCAAATCAGAGGTAGGCTACTACTCTAATCTAATAAGCCAAATTGAAATAGAATGCACTTGGTGAAACCATATGAAATTACGCATCTGCATTATGAGGACTAGACAAGAATTAACATCAATATGAAACTATTTCCCTCTTATTACTTTTCATGTGAGATGGATTTGGAAGTCTAAAGGGAATGCAAAAATATTTTTCTCTCATGATTTGTTTTCCTCCTAATACTCATTGCTCACAAGAGGATGAAATATTCTAAATTTACTGTTCTCTCCTGATTCACAAAGGTAAGTTTTATCTCACAGAGCACTAATATTATGGGTGGAAGACACTCAAATGGAGAATCATCCACATTATCAGTCTCATAATAAAATCGAGATAGCATAGGAAACCAACAAAATATGTACCTCTCGCTTAAGTAACCGATTATATTGATTGGCTTCACTCAATTTCTTGAGAATCTTTAATCTTTCAGCATCGGCAAGCAGTAACTTCAACTGTTAAGATAGCAGAGAGTCAACATAGTTAAAATCTGCTCTATACACTTGCGGCAACAACAAAGGAAGAATCATAGAACATCCAACAGGTGGAATAAAAAAAAGTTGATTTGCTTTTTGTACAAGCTTTTGTTTTCAATAACAGGTATGTAACAGTGTCATTGCTCCTGGATTACCTCATCGCTACTCAAAGTTTTTGCAGGGATTTTTTCAGGTGAAGCCTCAGGATCAGACTCACCAACCTCTGCTCTTTTCTTTGATGCTACCACTGAAAATTGCTGCTCCAAATTTTCAGGGGCACAAAATATTTTCCAAGAGGTACCTGGGATATTGTATTTCCAAGTAGGGACTAGAAATGATTTATGCATCCTATGAAAACCAATTCTTGTATTGTATGAAGCCATATTTCCTCGAACATTGATATTTTCCACCATGAACCTTATAAGTTTCAATAAAAGCCAAATTCCACATATCAGCATTTTAGTGATCAAAATTGTTTGATCAGAATAAAGCAAAACGAGATTAAAGGATAAAAGGAAATGCAAAATAGTAATAAAATAACATAAGCATAGAAAGATGGATTTAAGTAACATACACTAACAATGTATAAATATATTATGCCATCCGTATAATTTATCATGTAATAACAAGTTAGTTGCTATTTTTACCATGCTTATCCCTGAGATCTGTAATGACCTTATAAATCACTTGTATGTGTAAATATTTTTAGACTGTCGATGCATAGAACTTAAACTCAAAAAAGATTGACAGAGAAGACATATCAAGATCCCACATTGCATCAAATAGCAGTACAAAATAAAATCTCCAAATCACATAAAGAAAACCCTAAGTTCAGGGACAAAGAAGTTGAAGAAGTCACCTAGGTAAGTTGGTTGACCCAACTGAGTTAATTAGCAGGTTACACTCCATATTTAAGGACTTCCTGTAGGCCAACACCAAAAGCAACAATTTGAAGATTCAGAGACTAAATTTATCTATTAAGGGAAAATGATAATATATAAATTAGCTCAAGAGCAAAAGGGCAAACGTAATCAACAAAATTTCCAACTTTAGAAATATAGTTTACCCAGAAGCGGAGCCAGAATGTTCTAAATTAATAATTTTATACATATTTAATAATTTATACAGAGTTTGGACCAAAGGTATTGAGTTGAGCTGAACCCACAGGCAAAGAGCTAGCTCCGCCCCTAAGTTTACCCACTAGTACAATTGATGAGCTATATCGAGACTATAGTAGCATCAGTATCCTAATTTACCGCAAAATGGATTTCAGCTTATTTCTTGGTAAAATTTTGATGAAGATACGAAAGTTAGAGTAGAGCACTTACCTTCCAAGGGATGAAGCTGCAACTCCCAACTGCAAATGCAGTGGTCAGTTCCTACGGGAGAGAGCAGCGTAGCAATTTGCAATACACGTGTTCGGGTCATATTATTCTGCCCCTTTTCTCTCTTTTTTTTGGGTTTATAACATCGAACCATGTTGATGCCGGTTCATGGTCAAAACTTGAAGGGATCGTTTGGTACGAAAAAATAATACTAATTTTGATATTATTAATTTTTTATTTGATAGTTTTTTTAACTTATGTATAATTAATACTTATATTAGTTATACAATCTATTCAATATTATTCTTATACATAGCAAATGATGGCATTAGCAAAACTATGATTTTAATACATGAATAAGCATGTATAAAGATAAAACGGCCCTAATAAACCAAATCAAACAGTCAATAAGAAATAATTTTTGCATAACTAATTTTAATATAATTAATACCAACATTACTAATATACCGTATTCAGTACTTTTCTTATACACCCTACAAACGGCCCGAAATTATTTGAAGTTAAAGTAAAGGTGTTTAATGGGTGGGTCGGGCCGGGATGAAAAAAAAGGTGACCGGCCGGTTACCGGTTTTTTCAATCCGGGCTTAGTGGGTTCGGGTTCATCCGGGTAAAACATGAACCGGAACGGTTACGGGTCCAAGGGGCCCGGCCCGGCCGTGTTAATACAATTTTTTTGTATTTTATATCACTATCGTAATTTATATTAATATAAATTAATAATATAAAATAAAAAAATAATCTTATAAAAAGAGTGTTTGAATAAAAGGATGCAAAGGCTTTAAAATCCTTATATTTGAATATTTCATTAAGAATTAAAGATAATAGAATACAATGAAGATGGAAAAAAAATTACACTTATAATTTGCAAGTGCTTTTTTTATTTCAAACTTACAAATTAAATTTACATTTAATAACAACTAAATTAACGGGAAAAAAAGTAAATTCAAAGGTGTCACGACCCCAAATACCCGGTCGTGATGGCGCCTATCACATTACTAAGCAAGCCAACCAAAACCATCAATCACATCGAATTTTTTTTATAAAACCATTTTTCCAACATAGGATTAAATACCAGTTTTCATAAGAACTGTTTAAAACATCTAAAATAATGTGGAATCCAATAAAAACATAAGACAACACAACCCCAAATATCTGGTGTCACGAGTCTAGAGCCTCTACTACATAACTGACTGTTTGATACAATAAAAGTCTAGCAAAATGCAGAAAAAGAACAAGATAAGAAGGAGATAACAGGGCTGCGGACGCCATGCAGCTACTTCGAAATCTCTGGCAACCTCTGAATCAGCTGAGGACCCTCACTCTGCCACTCGGACACCTGAATCTGCACACAAGGTGCATGGAGTAACGTGAGTACGCCAACTCAGTAAGTAACTAAAGTAAATAAGGTCTGAAAGCAGTGACGAGCAGTTAAAAATCATATAACTGAATAAACAACAGGATAACAAATCCAATTCACAGTTTAAAACCAGTTTCATCGTAAAATTATCAACTTCAGTTTAAAAACTTGAATTTATATACTTAGCAATTTTTCCAACGGAGACTATTTTTAAAAGAAGAGTGAAATCAGTGAAAATATCATAACTGGGCCCCTAGGGCAAGGTATCACTCATAATGTGGCCTCTCGGGCAGCCTCTCAGACACTCGTGACTCAATTCTCGTCACTCAACACTCACTCTCAGCACTCAGGCTCATTAATATCTCATAGTAATAGAAATCATAGTAATCGATGCGGCGTGCAGCCTGATCCATAATTTATAGTCGACTACACTCACTGGGGGTGTACAGACTCCGGAGGGGCTCCTACAACCCAAGCATCATATCGTTGCGGTGCGCAGCCCGATCCAATATACATATCGCTGCGGCGTGCAGCCTGATCCAATATATATATCGCTGCGGCGTGCAGCCCGATCTATATAAGTATCACTGCAGTGTGCAACCCGATCCATAATATATACATATAATATCCTCACTATTAGGTTCTCAACCTCTCTCGGTCATTAACACCAGCTGACACAGCCGTATCAATAGGCTGCCAAGTGTACCGGACATGCCTTGAATATCTTTCATCCTCACTCTCGGCACCGCCATGATGGTCATCGGTTGAGCCTCCACCGGGTGCACCGCCTTCCAACTCATCATTTTTATGTTCGAATTATAGTTCAGCCATTGGAGAGGAATACGCATAAGGAGAAGTAGTAGAAGAACCCTAAATGGAATTGGTAAAAGTAAAGGAAAAAGATAGGGTTAGGGACTTAGGGTAAAGGAAAGGGTATTATAAAATAAGGGTATATTTGTCTTTTTAGTATATTTTATCGGTTTATCGATAAACCGATAACCGAAGAGGACAAAATCAAAATCGAAATTGATAACTCGATAAGGAAAATTTCGAAATCGAAATTGATAACCGATAACAAATAATTGATCCGATTTATTGATAAACCGATTCGAATGCACACTCCTAGGCACATGTTACAGGGATCCAGTCACAAGTTCCCGAGCAGTCACAGGACCCAGGGACCTAGGCTCATGATCCTATGTAGACGGAGGACCAATAGGGAGTTTTCTTTACTCTCTATCTTTTTCTTGAGCTATTTTTGTCTAGTTAGCATTTAGGACAATGCTAGCTTTCATTTGAGGGGGTAGCCCTATTTTGATGATGATGGATTGTAAATATGATACTATTTTCGTTTTTATTATGCTTTTCACTTTTGGTATGTATATAATTTTACTAGTTTATTTCACTTTTCGTATTTTGCAACCTTGATCTGTATATAAAGTTACTTTCTGATGTATATATTCATTCCCTCTTATGTATATTCGTTTAAATACCCTATTGTACATATTCAGTTTACTTTCTGCATTTTCTTTCATAGCTTCTTACTTCATTTTCGTAGCTTCTTATTTTGAGTTTTGCGTTCAATAAGCCTTTGATTTTCTTAATACCACGGTTCTTTCCAAAGGTGAAATTTGTGTGAATCGGGTGGCTCTTCCCGATGATGGATGACATGACAACCTTCTTAAGGGTTTGAGTCTGCTTTCTTTTCATTTTTTTGTGTAAATAGTAGCTAGTGAGTAATAGTGCCTCAAGCAAAGCTTCACTTGGGCCTAACACATTTGCCTTTGATCTAATGGTCAAAAACAAATTGGTGTGTATAGGATGGTGACAGTTGTGACCTTGAGACTCTTGTGTTGGCCGATAATCATCAAGTGGTTTTTCGGGACCACTTGCGTTGCTCAAATCTTAGCTAAAGTTGTTGTGGGCCCCCGACTATGTTTCTTTAGCAATCCTATAGCTTGTGTGGTGAGAATCTGAATTACAAGTCCAAGTTCCGTGCCATTGAATCTAGAACTTGCCCTGAATGTTTGTCTAGGCGAAATCCTAAGTGTAGTTTGACTTTGGAAGTGATTATAGGCTATCCTTGATCCGAATGATATCTTGAAAACATCCATAGCCTACTATTGATAATATCCCTAGTCAACCCTTTTGAGTTATAGCCCTTTTCTTTCAAAGACCATGATACAAGTCTTTACCCGTTCTAAAAAGACTCTCTCTTGGCACCCGATCTTTCCTTAGCACAAGGTAAAAACATAAGTTTGGGGGGAAGACGAGGAATGAAAAAAGTGGTAAAAGGTACAAAATGAAGAAAAGGAAAGTCAAAAAGAAAAATAAAGAAAATCAAAAAGTCAAAAAGAATGAACAATGTAGAAGAAGTGAAGGGAGTCAATAAAAGTAAAAAGATGAAAGGCGTGGAAAGATTAGAAAGGAGAAAAAGGTTTGAAATGAACAAGAAAGAGTGACGGCGTGTCTCTCTAACCCTTAAGAAAGAAGTAAATGACCCAAAGAATCAAGAGAATGTGTGCCAAAATGAAGCAAATGAAGTGCTTAAGGAAAGATGAAACCTACTTAGACCAAATATTTCCTACCCTGAACCAAAATCCTTCATTGTATCCCCACAAAAGCCCTATATGATCTTGAGTTGAGTGAAGCTTACATTAGTGCTGACTCTCATAAGGGGCAAGCTTATGGTACTTAAAGTCAGACTTGTGACCTTTTTTTGAGAGAGATGAGTGTGTTTTCCACAATCCTTATTCTGAGTGCTACAATCTAAAAGTGAGGTCTTGCTTAAGGAAGAGTGAGGAGTATGAGTTTGGGTTCCACAATGACCAAAGTAGTAGAAAGAGATTCCTTGATGAGTTGAGTCAATTCTTGATGCTTTTGTGTCGCACTAAAACCATGGTGTTTAAAAGATTAAATGTTGTTAATGATTCATTTGAATTGAGGGCAATTGTTAGTCCGAACTAATGCTAGATGAGGTCACTTTATGTCAGCTTAATTTTCTTGGTTTTATTCTTAAAGAGGTGGGACTTATTTTGTTTGCTTGAGGACAAGCAAAAGCTTAAGTTTGGGGGAGTTGATAACTAGGGATTCTAGTTTATTTTATACTCTTTTTTGCTTGAGTTTTGGATTAAAAATGTATACAAGTAATCCCGAAAGCTTACATGTTATGCTTGTTTGCAGTGTTTGGTCAAAAAAATGACAAAAAGTCAAAACCAGTTCAAAAAGGAATGAAACCTACACAAGTGCCAAGAACAAGTCAAAGCACCGCTGCAGCATAAAATCCACTGCGCCTACAAAAGACCCACCGCAGCCACGGTTAATTTAATATGGTCTGCGGTGCATAAGTTCAAAGAGATGCAATCCTGGGGGTCTAAGCAGTGCGGTCCACGGTAGATTCTTCGCGGCCGTGGTAGCCTCTTCGGGACCGCAGTCCATTTGTTGCGGTCCGCGGAGAGGGGATTCGGAGAGATAGGATTTTGGAAGCTTCAAGACACCGCGGTCCACGGTCCATCTGTTGCGGTCCACGATAAAGCCACCGCGGCCGCGATGCATTTTATGCGGTCCGACGGTGGCCAGATTCAGAGACTTAGAAGTGAAGCCAAAAATCCT